AAGACTCTCTGCTTCAGTTAATTTAGACAATAGATAGGCACTATCAGTTTTTTAAATGCACAGCAACTATTAGGTAATGCCACTTCTATTAAAATCCCTTTTAACCCCTTCCTTCAGGATCCTGCATTTATCTTTGGATGTAGCCTGCAAGAAGGGCATAGCTCTGCTTGGAGAGCATAAAAGCACGGCTAGAATGGTGATGTTTGGATCGTAATCCTAATCACGAAAGAATTAGTTACTGATGACTTTGTGCTCCTCCACAGCCTGGCTCTCCAGCCAGCAGAGCTGGAACTCTGGAACTGCACCAGATGGCTGTGGCATGTGTGTGCATTGAAATGTGTGAGTGCCCTTCAGCTGTTCATTCCAGCAGGTACAGCATATTGCACCTCTCTGCCTCCAGCCTCTTTGTGCTGAGCTGGCTGACCAGTGCGGGGCAGTCCCTGGCCTCCTCCCTCATAGGGTACCCTAACCCCGCCACCACCGATAGCCTGCTCAATAAGTGTTCCCTGACTGGAGAGTCTGGCAGCCAAATGAAGCACAGGTAATCTCATCTGTTGAGTGGTGATCAGGCAGATCCCTTTTGTGCAGCGGAGGATTAGCCACAGCTTGACACCCTGAAAAACAAAGAACAAGGAGCCACATCCCATCAGGAAACACAGACGGGAGTAGAGCTTTTCTTCACAGGAAGAAAAAGTGGCAAAATCCTCTTTCTAGAGCTTTGCCAAACAGAAATTGTCCAACAGAAATTGCCCAGTAGGAAGATCTAATGTTAAAAATAAGTCTCATTTACATCCCTGAGGAAGATGTAAATATCTGCGTGTGCAGATATGAAAAATGTATATAACCACACAAGTGGAGCAATAAAGTGAACTGACTGTGCATTGCATCAATGTGTGAGAGTCATTCCTGTCCCTGCACGGATGCTGAAACTCGACACTCACCCAAAATCAAATCCCCATGAGGTACACATCGGACTTCCCCATCCTTTAGCATTACCCACCAGGTACACCCAGGTCCTTGAGCAAAAGCAATCCCGCGGAGGGGCTTGCCTTTGCCCGAGGCAGGACTAACCCAAACCGTCTTCCCTAACATGTTCCGCATGTGCACTACAGGGACTTTATCCCCTTCTACGGGGCGCTGAGGTTTTGACTGGGCAGGACCAGCCCGGTT